TACTTTGGGGCTTGCGTACCTTTAGTTGCTCGCCCCTTCCCCTCTCCCACCCCCAGTAAAGGGACTTAAGGCCCCCTCCTCTCACCCAAAATAGACATTCCCTTGCTATGTGTTTATATACGAGCATGGTTGAAACATTAAGCACTTCACGAATATCTGCCCTAACCTTCATCAGCCAGGTGAAGCCGGTGTTCAAGGAAACGAGCGTGCAGACATCTTGCTGACACTGCAGTTGCTATGGCTGGCCCAGTACTGGACTGAAGTGATGTTATACATGCCATGCGCTGCACTTACCGTACCGAGGAGCACGCCAAAGGAGATGACTCCATATCCCTGTCTAGACTAATAGACATGGGGTGCAGCCTGCAGCTGCAAGAAACAAACATTTCACTAAGAGGACAAGACGTTTCATTAACCAACACAGAACAGACGTCATCAGTCGTTTTACACTTGTGGAGCTTTCGAGGAGGAGAGCGGAGCACCTATGGCTCTGTCCGGAGTGCTGTGATGATAATCCTTTCTAATCACTAATCACTATACGAGCATTTCATACTATATTTAAAAAAGTATAATATTTTTGTCGTTTAGCCTATTATTATTACTACTGCACCATCCCCCGCCCTTTCCGTCCCGTGCTAAGGACATTTGTTTGAGTGCTGAGAGCCTCGTCCTCCTCTCTTCCCTCCTTTCCGTCCCGTGCTTAGGACATTTGTTTGAGTGCTGAGAGCCTCGTCCTCCTCTCTTCCCTCCTTTCCGTCCCGTGCTTAGGACATTTGTTTGAGTGCTGAGAGCCTCGTCCTCCTCTCTTCCCTCCTTTCCGTCCCGTGCTTAGGACATTTGTTTGAGTGCTGAGAGCCTCGTCCTCCTCTCTTCCCTCCTTTCCGTCCCGTGCTAAGGACATTTGTTTGAGTGCTGAGAGCCTTGTCCTCCTCTCTTCCCTCCTTTATATGCTTTCTATATGCCAAATATTGGACTACAAAGCCTTAAGAGCCGCTCAGCCTTTCCCCCTTGTGGTTTATTTTGTTTGGAGTCAAATGGATGATAAAGTCTTTTGATCTCAACCAGAACTCATCAACATGGACAATAGACAAACAGTTAGAAAGACAAATAGATGCACTTTAGATGCAAATTTATTGAAGAATGTGTCGTTTGTGTTGGAAATAAAAACCACCAAATACAGAGGGTCTGAGAATACTAAGAACGAACGAACGAGCGAACAGACGAACTTTATTTTCAAAGGGTTACAAATTGGGCACGCAGGCCCATCTGACATTCGGTCCTTCTAAGCACTCATTTTTCAGAGTACCAATGCCTGTTATCAATAATACATGTTATAGATATATTAAATAATATTCATACACACATCATGTGTACACAAATGTACACACTCACACACACGTATAATACTACTACGTTCTCATACATGCACACTCATATACAGACATACTTAATACACACACACCCACATCTACATACATACACAAACATAAAACACATGCACACATAGGCATAAATCCACTAGCATGCATACATACACACATAGATACATACATACATACATGCATGTATGTCCACAAACGTTACTTACATACACACACATGCATGCATACACACATATACAATCACCCATACAGATATTACATACACACATGTATACCTGCCTACATACATACTTACATACATTATAGACAAACACACCCACAATCACACATACATTCATAAACTATCACACATACTTACAACATACATACCTAAATACACACACATACTTACAAACCTAAATATACTTTCATATATCCACATACATACACACACACACACACACACACACACAATCACACACACACATGCATACTTGCATACATTTATCAATACACAAACACCTACACAGCTACAAATACCTACATACACCCACATACATACATAAATACACACACACATACAATCACATACTTATACATCTACATTTACATACACACATTCTCATACATACAGACAAACATAATACATACACGCAACTACATACATATACGCACACATACACACATCCACATGTATACATACATACATAGGCTACATTTACTTGTATACATAATAGAAACATACATCCATACATACAATAACATACATATACAAACATAAAACACACACACCTACTTACATAGACAGACATGCACACACACATACATGCATACATACACACATCCATACATACACTCACATACTTACAAACATACATACAAACTTGCAAACACACCTAAATACACACACATACACCCACCAACATGCATACATACACACACATAACATTCTTACACACATATGCATGCATACACACATATGTAATCACGCAAACAGACACCCACATACATACATTCACATATATATGCCTGCATACATACATACTTGCTTACATAATACACACACCCACAATCACACTCATATACCATCACACACACACACACACACACAAACACACACATATATATAAACACCCATACACTTACAACCTACATAAAAACACACACATACTTACAAACCTAAGAATACACACATATATCCACATACATACACACACACCAACAATCACACACACACCCACATAATACACACATATACTACGTAAAAGAAAGATGGTAATGAATGTGAATTATTGTGAATGGAAAGAGAGTTATTCAAAACAGTAAAACAAGAGAGGAGCTGGAGATCTTTACATTGGCTGTATCTCCAAGAGTGTAAACATGTCTCTAACCAACCGATGGCGACTTGTTGCTGCGGAAATCTCACAAGATCAAAGAGAACAACGTTCCCGATAGTCTGAAGCTTTCTAGGGGAAGTAATCAAAATGACTTTCCGCTCCGCACGGCTTTTGGTTGTTTGTTCCGTGTGTGGGTGTCGGTTGTTTGTTCCGTGTGTGGGTGTCGGTTGTTTTATCTCGTGTGGGTGTCGGTTGTTTGTCTCGCATGAGGGTGCTGGTTGTTTCTGGCTAAGGGGTCGGTTGTTTGTCTGGTATTTGGGTGTTGGTTGTTTGTCTCCTGTGTGGGTGTCGGCTGTTTCATCTCGTGTGGGTTCGGTTGTTTGTCATGTATGTGGGTATTGGTTGTTTCATCTCGTGTGGGTGTCAGTTGTTTCATCTCGTGTGGGTGTCGGTTGTTTGTCATGTATGTGGGTGTTGATTGTTTTTGGCTAAGGGTCGGTTGTTTGTTCCGTGTGTGGGTGTCGGTTGTTTGTCTGGTGTTTGGGTGTTGGTTGTTTGTCTCCTGTTTGGGTGTCGGTTGTTTGTCTGGTGTTTGGGTGTTGGTTGTTTGTCTCGTAAGTGGGTGTCAGTTGTTTGTACCATGTGATGGTGTTGGTTGTTTCGTATGTGGGTGTTGGTTGTTTCGGGTTTGGGTTTCGGTTGTTTGTCTGCTGTGTGGGTATTAGCTGTTTGTATCCTGTGTGGGTGTCGGTTGTTTGTCACGTGTGTGGGTTTAGTTGTTTGTTTTGTGTGTAGGTGTCGGTTATTTGTCTACTGTGTGGGTGTCGGTTGTTTATCTGGTGTGTGGGTGAAGGTTGTTTGTCTCGTGTGTGGCTGTTAGTCGTTTGTCATGTCTGTGGCTGTTAGTTTTTTGTCTCCTGTATGGCTGTTAGTTGTTTTTCTTGTGTGTAGGTGTCGGTTATTCGTCCTGTGTGTGGGTGTTAGTTGATTATCCCGTGTTTGGGTATTTTTAAGCCTGTCGTCCGCGTATCGGTGCCGGTCCACTGAAAGTTTCTGGCGTCTGCCTAACAAGTTTATCCAATCATGTGATGAAAAAAATCGCACAGGGTTTGTTGCTGTGCTTAGCCGCTCAGAAACAACGCTATGTCAGATTTTCTAACCCCTAAGTAGCATTAGCTAATTACTTTTAATTGATAATAATTTTGTTGTTCATGTACCAATGACATTATATTTAAAAAGTACAATACCATCTACATTTGTACTAATTTTTTTAGCCTTTATTCTGCACACACCCCCCCCCCCCCCCCCCCCATTAAATCTGCTAATTTCGTGCTCTACGGGTGTAAAAAAAAGGTTGAAAAACTCATAGACATTCTATCAATCCTCATTGCACCCATGACGCACATAAGGCAGAGACAATCTGGCGCCACTCAATTCGACACTGACCCATCCTCTCTATCTCCAGTTTTGTCCTTCGCGTAACCATAAGTTCAGCCTCAGAGGCAGTGTTGCCACTTTGGATGTTTTACATTCAGATTTAGATGTTTTTTCTTGCATTTAGATGGCGTTTTTGACGTTTTGATGGAAGATGTTTTTCTAGATGTTTGTCTTTCGGTGTGAATTTATCAAATCTAAGCTGAGAAACAAGATGAAATTTGACCTCTTATATGCTATCTTGACAATAAAATTTTGCCTGATAAGAGTAGGAAAAGGCTGTTCCACTTATCAGCTCCCTGACTGGGTATTACAAGAAATTGGAACAGCTAAAGCATACGAGTCATTTTGGATCTGAAGCTTCAACTTCATCAAGTTTATCATGTGGATCTTGTAAGGCAGACTTCAGTAAAGATGACGACATGATTCTATAGGCTAAGTCACATCACTTGCTATGTAATTTGTGACTTTTTCCATTTGAATGTTTTTTCTTAATGTTTTCCATGCAAATTTAGATGTTTCTAGATATTTTTTGACTCTGTTTTGGATGTTTTTTGTCAAAGAAAAGTGGCAACACTGCTCAGAGGTTCGCCTGCAAGTGCTTCTGGGCCGGTCACCTCCAAGCTATCCTTGTGGTGTCCATTGCATTATTTTTCTCGACCGTCTCTCTTTCTTAATTCTGAGGGTGTGTCCAGTGCACCTCCATCTTCGTTTTTTTTAAATTGTTTATTTCTAAATTTAAATCTTTTCAGTATGTCATTTGTTGTAATTAGGAATTGCTGAACCCTATACATTATCCTTCATGAAAGGTCTTTGTTTTCGCTACTGTCTTAACAATGACCATATCTTGTTCAACCCCTTCTCGCAGTTGGTGTACAGTCTGAGCCGAGAGGTCGCTATCTACTGCTGTCTGAGCATGGGCCTCGGTGGCGTCAGCGATTCCTACTTGCTCCGGGATGAGCTCAGGTGTGCAGCCTCCAAAGTGTTTGACATTGTCTTACTATGCAAGCGTAGACTGATGCCACTTTTACTCAGGTAAGTCGCCAAATCCCAGCTGGTAATTACTTCCTCCCTACTACCCCCCCCCCCCCCCCCCCCCCCCTTTTTTTTTTTCTCTTGTTTTTGTGAGTTTTTCTTCTCCTTTTAGTTCAAATCCGGACTTTGGTTTTGCTCCAGTACTTACATTTTGCTTGCACACCGATTGCACAGATCTGGATTTTATGTGCGCAGAATGTTGGTTTTTTACCTAACAGGCATTTCCATTGACTTTACACGAACCACCCGTAATTAGTCGCTTTTTACGGCATGCTTGCTAGGGAAGCAAGAGGTAAATTCTTCTCCTCCTGCCCCTTCCACTCCACCCCTAGGAAAAGGGGACACCTTGCAATATAATCTACGGAGGTAGGTTACTAATCCCAGAAATCTATGTTACTGATTACGGCACCAGTCATGGCAGCCTATGTTACTGAAGAAAGTCACCAATCCTAGCAGCCTATGTTACTGAAGTAAGTCACCAATCCTAGCAGCCTATGTCACTGATTGAGCACCAATCCTAGCAGCCTATGTCACTGATTGAGCACCAATCATAGCAGCCAATGTTACTGATTAGGGCACCAGTCCTAGCAGCCTATGTTACTGAAGTAAGTCACCAATCCTAGCAGCCTATGTTACTGAAGTAAGTCACCAATCCTAGCAGCCCATGTTACTGATTGAGCACCAATCCTAGCAGCCTATGTTACTAAAGTAAGTCACCAATCCTAGCAGCCTATGTTACTGATTAGGTCACCAATCCTAGCAGCCCATGTTACTGATTAAATCACCAGTCTTAGCAGCCCATGTTACTGAAGTAAGTCACCAATCCTAGCAGCCCATGTTACTGAAGTAAGTCACCAGTCCTAGCAGCCCATGTTACTTAAGTAAGTCACCAGTCCTAGCAGCCTATGTTACTGAAGTAAGTCACCAATTCTAGCAGCCTATGTTACTGAGATAAGTCACCAGTCCTAGCAGCCTATGTTACTGAGATAAGTCACCAGTCCTAGCAGCCTATGTTACTGAAGTAAGTCACCAATCCTAGCAGCCTATGTTACTGAGGTAAGTCACCAATCCTAGCAGCCTATGTTACTGAGATAAGTCACCAGTCCTAGCAGCCTATGTTACTGAGGTAAGTCACCAATCCTAGCAGCCTATGTTACTGAGGTAAGTCACCAATCCTAGCAGCCTATGTTACTGAAGTAAGTCACCAATCCTAGCAGCCTATGTTACTGAGATAAGTCACCAGTCCTAGCAGCCTATGTTACTGAGGTAAGTCACCAATCCTAGCAGCCTATGTTACTGAGGTAAGTCACCAATCCTAGCAGCCTATGTTACTGAGGTAAGTCACCAATCCTAGCAGCCTATGTTATTGAGGTAAGTCACCAATCCTAGCAGCCTATGTTACTGAGGTAAGTCACCAATCCTAGCAGCCTATGTTACTGAAGTAAGTCACCAATCCTAGCAGCCTATGTTACTGAGATAAGTCACCAGTCCTAGCAGCCTATGTTACTGAGGTAAGTCACCAATCCTAGCAGCCTATGTTACTGAGGTAAGTCACCAATCCTAGCAGCCTATGTTACTGAGGTAAGTCACCAATCCTAGCAGCCTATGTTATTGAGGTAAGTCACCAATCCTAGCTGCCTATGTTATTGAGGTAAGTCACCAATCCTAGCAGCCTATGTTACTGAGGTAAGTCACCAATCCTAGCAGCCTATGTTATTGAGGTAAGTCACCAATCCTAGCTGCCTATGTTACTGAGATAAGTCACCAGTCTTAATTGCAGGAGGAAACTTATGGAGAAGAATTGCCTGGAATATATCAAGAGAGATAAGGCTGTAAGTCGCAGGAAACTCGTTCAACTAATAGGTTATATTTACGGTCCTTGACGACAGTCTCGGTGGGGCTTAAAAAATAACAACAACAAACAAAACAAAATGCGCCCTATTTTGCTGCGGATTATGATAAACATGTGTTTGAGTTCTCCGTGGCCGAATGGTTAAGCTTTTGCCTCGCCCTCTAAATATGGTGGATTCATTTACGGGTTTTGTTGCCCGGTTCAGTTTTAAGGCGATCCCTAGTGTTGGATCATCAGTGCTACAAATATCGTTTTTTTTTGTGTGTGGCGCTCTCCTCAGGTAGCTAGCTAGCTACTTTTCAACAAGGCGGAAGTTTTTCACAAAATATTATCACAAAAGGCTCAATGTTACATATGGCCGTTGTTTAAATATAATGGAAGGCACAGTAAACGCCTAAATATATTGCACATCCTTAAACCCAGGATAGACCTATTCAAAACAAGCTTAACGTACTCCGCAGCTCACTTGTAGAACTATCTGCCACAACAAATAATAAATACCACTAGTCCCTACACTTGTACATACAGTCGGAAACTGTTTGAACATTACGTGAGCACAGATTACGTGCCCCTTAGAAGATAAACAATATTTTAGAAATTGCACACATCTTTCCCAGATCTATTGAAATTACTATGGTTCACGGTAGTTAGAAATGGTCACATTCCAGTGCTTGTATTGAATATCTTGATGCTATTGATAATGTTTACTGTTACGTAATGTATGAATGAAATGATGTAAGAACGGAGGCAGGCCTCGAAGGACAGACTGTTATACAGGCCTGCGTGCCCAATTCTTAACCCTTTAAAAATAAAGTTTGTTCGTTCGTTCCCTCATTTTTTAGGTAGAGCGATGCTTGCTAGCCAAGTTTTGTCGCACAAAGCACGGAGATTCAGCGACGAAACCCAGAGCTCTTAAAAACACTTGCACTAACGATCGAAAGCGACGCAAATCAGAGCCAAACCTAGAAGCTTCAAAGCGCAAGGCAAACAGTTTAACCATTTGCCCACACTGGCTACCAGGCACTATCTAAAAACCTATAAGAGTCGCAACGGAGACGTTGGTATGGATTAAGCACATCACTCAAACGACGGGTTATATCAAAATGAGTTTAAGACAGCAGTTGTTGAGATGTAGAGTTTTATATTGGTAAAAACAGCTAATTATTACTTAATGGTGGGTTTATTCAAACAGCCGATCTGAGATATTCCGTGTTTTCTGCACTGAATAGTGGTTTTATTCAATCAGCGGTTGCTATGGAGATGTTAAGTTTTAGTCTGAAAAAGTCAAATCATTGCAGGTCAACATTCTTGTTGACTTGGTCAATAGAAGTCGTGAATATTATACAGACGTTAGTTGTATTCATTTCTGTCAAATCTTGGTTTGTCTCAGTCTTGGTCAATAGAAGTCCTGAATATTATACAGACGTTAGTTGTATTCATTTCTGTCAAATCTTGGTTTGCCTAATTCTTGGTCACGTGATTTCTGATAATTATAAACTGAAACTTAAAGGGACAAAGTTGAAAAAGAAGAAACAGAATAAGAATAAGAATAAGAAAAAGAAAAAGAAGAAGATATACAAGCAGAAGAAGAAAAAAAACAATGAAGAAATGAAGAAGAAGAAGAAGAAGAAGAAAGAAGAAGAAGAAGAAGAAGAAGAAGAAGAAGAAGAAGAAGAAGAAGAAGAAGAAAGAGGAAAAGAGAAGAGAAGAAAGAAGAAGAAGAAAGAAGAAAAAGAAGAAGAAGAAGAAGGAAGAAGAAGAAGAAGAAGAAGAAGAAGAAGAAGAAGAAGAAGAAAAAAGAAGAAGAAGAAGAAGAAGAAAAAGAAGAGAAGAAGAAGAAGAAGAAGAAAGACAGAAGAAGAAGAAGAAGAAGAAGAAGAAAGAAGAAGAAGAAGAAGAAGAAGAAGAAAGAAGAGAAGAAGAGAAGAAGAAGAAGAAGAAGAAGAAGAAGAAGAAGAAGAAGAAGAAGAAAAAAGAAAAGAAGAAGAAGAAAGAAGAAGAAGAAGAAGAAAGAGAAGAAGAAGAAAGAAGAGAAGAAGAAAGAAGAAGAAGAAGAAGAAGATATACAAGCAGAAGAAAGAAGAAGAGAAGAAGAAGAAGAAGAAGAAGAAGAAGAAGAAGAAAGAAGAAGAAGAAGAAGAAGAAAGAAGAAGAAGAAGAAGAAGAAGAAGAAGAAGAAGAAGAGAAAAAGAAGAAGAAGAAGAAAGAAGAAGAAGAAGAAGAAGAAGAAGAAAAGAAGAAGAAGAAGACAAGAGAAGAAGAAGAAGAAGAAGAAGAAGAAGAAGAAGAGAAGAAGAAGAAGAAGAAGAAGAAGAAGAAGAAGAAGAAGAAGAAGAAGAAGAAGAAGAAGAAGAAGAAGAAGAGAAGAAGAAGAAGAAGAAGAAGAAGAAGAAAGAAGAAGAAGAAGAAGAAGAAGAAGAAGAAAGAATAAGAAGAAGAAAAAAGAAGTAAAAGGAAGAATACAAGCAAGAAAAGAAGAAGAAGAAGAAGAAGAAGAAGAAAGAAGAAGAAGAAGAGAAAGAAGAAGAAGAAGAAGAAGAAGAAGAAGAAGAGAAGAAGAAGAAGAAGAAGAAGAAAGAAGAAGAAGAAGAAGAATGAAGAAGAAGAAGAAGAAGAAGAAGAAGAAGAAGAAGAAGAAGAAGAGAAGAAGAATAAAGAAGCAGAAGAAGAAGAAGAAGCAGAAGCAGAAAGAATGTATGCAGGCAGCAGCAGCAAATGCTGAAGAAAGAAGAAGAAGAGAAGAAGAAGAAGAAGAAGAAGAAGAAGAAGTAAGAAGAAGAAGAAGAATGAAGAAGAAGAATGAAGAATGAATGAAGAAGTAAGAAGAATGTAGAATGAAGAAGAATGAATGAAGAATGAAGAAGAAGAATGAATGTATGAATGTATGAAGAATGTAGTATGAAGATGTAAGTAGAAGAAGAAGAAGATGATGATGAATTTAAAGCATAAAAATATAAATAATGAAAATAATGATAATAATATGATATCGATGTAGATGATGTAGGTATATATGTTTTTAGGTCTATTGTATCATGTCAGTTGTATTTACGAATGTATATATATGCAGCATGTATGCGAGTCAAAGAAGAAGAACGAGAAGAAGTGGAGCGACTGTACAGAATTTTTGTAGGCTGTCTGGAAATGCTTCAGACAGAATTTATTAGGGCAATGACACTACAGTCTATGTTTCCGCTGTGGGACTGTAAGTATCTAGTGATTGGACTATAATATGTATGTATGTATGTATGTATGTATGTATGTATGTATGTATGTATGTATGTATGTATGTATGTATGTATGTATGTATGTATGTATGTATGTATGTATGTATGTATGTATGTATGTATGTATGTATGTATGTATGTATGTATGTATGTATGTCTGTCTGTCTGTCTGTCTGTCTGTCTGTCTGTCTGTCTGTCTGTCTGTCTGTCTGTCTGTCTGTCTGTCTGTCTGTCTGTCTGTCTGTCTGTCTGTATGTCTGTCTGTATGTCTGTATGTCTGTATGGTCTGTCTGTCTGTTGCTGTCTGTCTGTCTGTCTGTCTGTCTGTCTGTCTGTCTGTATGTCCTGTCTGTCTGTCTGTCTGTCTGTCTGTCTGTCTGTCTGTATGTCTGTCTGTCTGTATGTGTCTTGCGTGTGCGTGCGTGCGTGTGCGTGTATGTATGTATGTATGGATGTATGTGAAAGGGCTTCAGATGTGAACCTTAGGAGTTTAAAAGTGTAATAGAAATTACGAAAGCTAAACCATTGTCTTGCAACCTGTAAGTATGTGTTGTTGTTGTTAAGCATGTGAAGTGTGTTAATCTCGTCCCATCGCGAATCAGTCAAGAATCAGCATACCGCATTATCCATGCTGTGCTACAATACTGCAAAGTGTGTCTGCAGGGTGGCTACTGTGGCAGCTTGCTTCAGAATTAGAGCAACAACATAGTGATGCTTGTCAAAAGCTTTGGCGTTGCTCTGAAGCTGGTGGTTGTTTCCATTCAAGAATCGTTACCGTGAGTATGAATCTTGGGTAGTCGATGCAAATCAGAACTAAGAGAGCGCAACGTGAGGATGAAAGAATGTTTACAACCGGGTAACAAACAAATTTTTGTACAGAACGCAAAACAAGGAACGATTGACTGTGGTACTCTTTTTTGCATGTACGATGACACCATTGAAGAATCAGGGCATATGCCAAGATTATGAGAAAACTGTTGCTACCAATACTGCAAAGCATTGTTGACTGCAGGTATGAACATCTTGGCTCGCACGCTGTGCTCCCAAAACTAGAGCAAAACATCTGAGTGAAAGTGCTTGTCAAAATAAGCTTAGCATCTGTCGACTAATGAAGCTGGTGGTTGTTTCCATTCGGAGATGAATCTTGGGTTCACTACCGCAAACAGAAAATAAAGAGAGCGCACGAGGAGTGGCGCCATCCCTTCTCATCAAAACCAAACAAATTTTGCGAGCAGCCACCAGACAACAAGGACAACGTTATGACAGACAGACTTTTTGGAATGAGACGATGACGGTATTGTAGAGACAGACAGCCAGAAAGGGGGACAAAAAAAAACCTGTTGTCAGTGATACGCATACAGATCTTTTCATGAACCATCTTTGACTCGCAAGCACGTGCAAACGAGGCGAACTTCTGAGTAAAAGTGTCTTTTAGCAGCTTGCATCTGTTCGACTACATATTGCTCATAATCCGGTTAAATCCATGGACCTTCACTTTTAGTGTGTACTTGATGGGTGGCAGACAGACAGACAGACAGACAGACAGACAGACAGACAGACAGACAGACAGACAGACAGACAGACAGAGATGGATAGATAGATAGATAGATAGATAGATAGATAGATAGATAGATAGATAGATAGATAGATAGATAGATAGATAGATAGATAGATAGCTAGATAGATAGATAGATAGATAGATAGATAGATAGATAGATAGATAGATAGATAGATAGATTAGATAGATAGATAGATAGATAGATAGATAGATAGATAGATAGATAGATAGATAGATAGATAGATAGATAGATAGATAGATAGATAGCCAGATAGATAGATAGATAGATAGATAGATCAGATAGATAGATGGATAGATAGACCAGGAATAGATAGATGGATAGATAGATGGACAGATAGATGGACAGATAGATGGACAGATAGATGGACAGATAGATAGATAGATAGATAGATAGATAGATAGATAGATAGATAGATAGATAGATAGATAGATAGATAGATAGATAGATAGATAGATAGATAGATAGATAGATAGATAGATAGATAGATAGATAGATAGATAGATAGATAGATAGATAGATAGATAGATAGATAGATAGATAGATAGATAGATAGATAGATAGATAGATAGATAGATAGATAGATTAAACACGGTGTTATCTTGTAGCTAAATTAAACTATCAGTTATGCCTTTCTCCTGTCATCTACCCACCACCCTCACCTCTCCCCTGCCTCCCCCTTGACAACTCGCTGGCAGCAAACACGCTCCTGATACAGACAGGAGTCAGTGAGAGCGTCTTCCACAAAAAGTCATGCAATATTATGGAGGCTGGCGATGGCTCAGGCAACGAGCGAAAAATTGCTGATCGCGAGGAATTTACGAACTTAGAAAGGTAAAATTTTACTTGTTGTATAATGTAAATCATTAACGTTGGACAGGACACACTTTGAGAAAACATAGAAGCATTATAACTAGAAGGTATGATTAAAAATGTAGATAAAAAACACACACGAAAAATGTTTATGTGTTTATTCAACGGATCAACATCTTGGCACACGGGTGTAACCCATAAGTGCTCCGCTCTACTTCTAACTCAAGCCTGCGTTTAAAGAATCTCAGCGCAATGGACGAACTCCGTTGCACCGGCGAGGATCCTGAAAAAAAGAATATAAATAGAGAATTACGTTACATGGATGGGGTGCCCGGCTGGCTAGCGCAGTTGGTTAAACCTGAATCGTGGCAACCGGGTGACGAACTCCTTTTGATCCTGATTCACCCCCGGGGGTAGGCAGACAATTCACAGTTTTCCCAGTTTTACGGTATTTGTCATGGAGTCAAGGCCGAAGGGTTGTGGGTAAAACAAACGTGAGTCTCCCCAAGGACCGCCCATACCCATACTAGCTCACTTCTAATTGATAGTTCCTGAACCTGTCACCGTGATACAAGGTTACGAGGGTGTTCCGCAATGTCGTTGATATCCTGTGTTGTATATTTCAGCACGAAAGTGCTTTTAACACTCCAAAAACATGGACAAACTGGGTCTTACACAACACTTTTAGAGATTGCTGCGACCTTTGTCACGGGCATTCTCTTTCTGAGAATAAAAACGTAAATGCAAGACAACACAGAAAGCAAGCAACAGAGCGGCACACCCGTAACCTGAACGAAAGTAGACCAGCCCAAACAAACTTGTGAATGAAACGTGACCTACTTTGTGTGGGGAGACTAACTTAAACCTAACCGCTTTGCGATATCCATAGTACCAATCCGAAGGGTTACCAATTCCTGATTTCTTGATATTTAATAATGATTACTGCTGTATTATTAATATATATACTTCATGGCGTCGCTGAAGCCGTGGAATTCGAATTCCATGCGACCCTCTTGAGCCTCTGCGGTAGGTATCGAGCCAGATTGTTTTACTTTTAATGACAAGAATAACTAAAGCTGAAAACTCTTAAGCCATTGTAATAACATTATAAATAAAACACGAGGCCAACGACGAGAGAGCCATAGAGTGTTGCAGATCATGTGCAGTCAACCTCCAGTGTGGAGACGGCACATGGCTGGAAAATGTTGAGAACATGCATATTTTACGTAACGTTCAACAAGATCTGAACGTTGTACAAAATGGGCATAGACAACATCTTTATATGAGACATTCATATGTTAGGTAGCTAGTCATTCGAGCTTCCCACACAACTGCAGACAAGCTATCCCATACCGCTGCAGACAGGTCACTCCACACCACTGCAGACAGGTCACCCCACACCACTGCAGACAGGTCACCCCCACACCGCTGCAGACAGGTCACTCCACACCACTATAAATAGGTCACCTCACACCACTGCAGACAGGTCACCCACACCACTGCAGACAGGTCACCCCACACCAGTACAAATAGGTCACCCCACACCACTGCAGAAAGGTCACCCACACCACTGCAGACAGGTCACCCACATCACTGCAGACAGGTCACCCCACACCACTGCAGACAGGTCACCCACACAACTGCAGACAGGTCACCCCACACCACTGCAGACAGGTCACCCCACACCACTGCAGACAAGTCACTCCACACCACTACAAACAGGTCACCGCACACCACTACAAACATATCACCCCACATCCTGCAAACATATCACCCCACACCACTACAAACATATCACCCCACACCACTACAAACAGGTCACCCCACACCCTGCAAACATATCACCCCACACCACTACAAACAGGTCACCCCACACCACTACAAACAGGTCACCCCACACCACTACAAACAGGTCACCCCACACCACTACAAACAGGTCACCCCACACCACTACAAACAGGTCACCCCACACCACTACAAACAGGTAACCCCACACCACTAAAAACAGGTCACACCAATACAAACAGGTCACCCCACACTACTACAAACAGGTCACCCCACACCACTACAATTAACCCACACCTCTACAAACAGGTCACCCCACACCACTACAAACAGGTCACCCCACACCATTACAAACAAGTCACCCCACACCACTACAAACAGGTCACCCCACACTACTACAAACAGGTCACCCCACACCACTACAATCAACCCACACCTCTACAAACAGGTCACCCCACACCACTACAAACAGGTCACCCCACACCACTACAAACAGGTCACCACACACCACTACAAACAGGTCACCCCACACTACTACAAACAGGTCACCCCACACCACTACAAACAGGTCCCCCCACACCACTACAAACAGGTCCCCCCACACCACTATAAACAGGTCCCCCCACACTATTTTATAGACCCATCAGCACTAGGTTGGTGATATGATAAACATTACGCCGGCCGCCGTTACTTTCAGGGAAATTAACCTTTTGTTGCTGTTCTTGCTGTTCTTGCTGTTGGATTGTGTTAACCAAGCAGCCAAAGTCAGTTTTGAAACATAAATCAGTTTATGTGGTTTTAGGAGCCGACGTGGTGTAGCAGCTAGATGTTCCTGCCAATCCGAAGATCTTGTGTTCGAATCCACACGGAGCCGGACATTTTTCTTTGAAAAAAAAAATGGTCTGCCAGGTTTTGAGTGGCTACCAGGTAAAGTTCTGGGATGTAAAGGCGGTTGGTATGCTGTTGAGCCACAGTTTAATTAAGTTAGTTGGGTGAGGAGGGGAAAGGGGGGGGGGATTGGAGCGTTGGGGTCTTGCCGCTACCTGGGAAAGGTTAAATACCACTCATCTAGATTATTGTAAAGACTAGGATACATGATGACTTCTCCCGTCATTTAACCTAACATAAGTCAGAATAAACATCCCTGTGCTGGTACAAGTGACCATTGTGGAAAATAGGGGGGGGGGGAAAAATCCTACTGCTCTCTAAAAGCATGTCGTAAAAGGCGACTAATAAGAGAAAATCGGAAATATTGAGCCGAAAATGCATATATCGCAACCTGTCTGTTAACTACAACAAAGGGTTCCAATCGCTAATTATGAGGCGAACGAAGAAGAAAAAGAAAATGAGGAAGAAGAAGAAAGAAGAAGAAGAAGAAGAAGAAGAAGAAGAAGAAGAAGAAGAAGAAGAAGAAGAAGAAGAAGAAGAAGAAGAAGAAGAAGGAAGAGGATGAAGAAATTAAGAAAAAAAAAGAAGAGAAAGAAGAAAATTGAAACTTTATTTCTTTTTCTTTTATTATTGAACAAGAAAAATGACATAAGAATAAACCAGAACTGAAGGAGGAGGAGGACAGCTGTAGGACCAGTCATCCCCACTGACATCAAGAAAAAAAACTGAAGAGGAACCAGCTCTCCCCACTGACTGAAACATATTTCCACTTTCTTTTATTATTGATACAAACATGATGACATACTGTATAAACCAGTCATTCCCACTGACATGCTGTATGAACCAGTCATTCCCACTGACATGCTGTATGAACCAGTCATCCCCACTGACATGCTGTATGAACCAGTCATCCCCACTGACATGCTGTATGAACCAGTCATTCCCACTGACATGCTGTATGAACCAGTCATCCCCACTGACATGCTGTATGAACCAGTCATCCCCACTGACATGCTGTATGAACCAGTCATCCCCACTGACATGCTGTATGAACCAGTCATCCCCACTGACATGCTATATGAACCAGTCATTCCCACTGACATGCTATATGAACCAGTCATTCCCACTGACATGCTGTATGAACCAGTCATCCCCACTGACATGCTATATGAACCAGTCATTCCCACTGACATGCTGTATGAGCTAGTCATCCCCACTGACATGCTGTATAAACCAGTCATCCCCACTGACATGCTGTATGAATCAGTCATCCCCACTAACATGCTGTATTCCCTCTCGAATGACCAGGAAACTGACCACTCTACAAGAGATGTGCTACACAACAAGCCAGATGATAGATGTCAACCCTTGGGACTTCAAGCCAGACTCTGACCACACAAAAATTGGTAAATATACTATCTGAAATTGCGGTTATCTTATGGTGCTTTTCTATTAGTTGACGGGAAAGCGTAAAAAATGATAATGACAAGAAACACATAAAACGTTTATTTATTTGCTGAGGCTTAATGTATTCTTGTGTGCAACATGAACATTTTCAGTTTTGAAATTACAAAGATGTTGAAAGTCGGAATTATGTTCTCTTCAGTGGCTATGCTTTAGGTAGTAAAGCGCCATCGGATAACTATGCAGAACCAGCCAGTCTATCCGTCTGTTCATTTCCTAATATGTCGGCATATCCTAGGCAAAATATCCAAAGGACGCCATCTACCCGGGACCTCTAAAGCGATGCTTACCACTCTTCAGGGAGCATTCCTGTCTCCATCTATCTCTTGCTCTGTGTCAGTTACAGTTACGACACATGTGTACATCTGATTCTCAAACCGGCGGAATGCTGCAGTGACTGCCTCAACCTCCATTCTCAAACTAGATGTCGTGTCATCGTATGCCGGGCTTTCTTACACTAAGATATGTTCATTCGCTTTTGCTAAGAACGCACGTGAACTTTGTCGACGATGCCAGGAGGCTTCCTATTGATAGGCGAAGGTACCCATTTGTAGTGTGCGACAGGTGCTTAGGCGTATGATAACGAGGACTGCCACCGATACGAGTGCGTACCGTTGGTACGTTCACTCCTTGGTGTGCCAGCCTAGCACCACAACATCTAGCGTAAGAATGGAGGTGGAGGAGGTAACTGCAGCTCTCCGGTGGTTAGAGAACAAGATGCATACACATGTCGTAATTGTAACAGACTCTGAAAGCATGCTGAGAAAGGTGAAGACATGGATGCTTCGAGCAGAGTGGCAAGCTTTACTAGAAAAGTCACTTGTAGTGAGCATACTTTTCATCTTTTCTCCAAGCCATGGCGTCGTGGTGGGTAATGAACAGGAGGAAAGATTGGCTAGATCTGCACCACTGGTTGTTGAATTGATACATGACAAGGTAGATGTTGTCAAGGCCATTTGGAAACAAGCTAAGGTTATTATGTCCTGGAGAGAATGAGGCACCTGTGTGTAATCAGAGGGTCCAGCGGGCTCACTACACTCAGAGAAATAGCAAGACGGACATATAACCAGACTATGACCGGTACCATCAGTAATGGAACTCTGTGCTGGCTACTGAAGATGAGGACGGGGCACGCATGGGAATGCCCCAAGTGTTGTGATGTTGACTCAACTTAACGCCCTGGTGTTGTTCAATTGGAAGAGTTACGCATTTTGGAATTTGATTGTTACTGTCGCCATTGTCCAGTTGTAGTCGGAGTTCTGTATTGTTGACATCCTTACTTCGATTGAGAAAATGTTAGATTGTTCAAATCACAATGACCTTAGCGTTCACGCTGACTTGTGTTGAACGAACACTACCCTTTCGCAATCATTAAACATATATCATAAATTTTGCAGAACAAACATGTAACAATTGACACCGAAAGAACACGTTTCGATATAATATTTTTTTTAAACCATCATTGTACACTCAGTGCTAAATCTGGACTTTAACAACAAAAGACAAAAGAAAACTCGAAAACAAAAGAAATTAATTCTGCAATGAATCCTAAATGTAAATTGAAGAGAAGGATCAGAAAGGACGATAGAAAAGAAGTTGGTACGGAATCAATATTAAACTACACAAAGAAACAACATAACAAATGGTTTGGACATGTGTCAAGACTATAAGCAGACAAGGCACCACCACACAGAGTCATGTCACTTAGACACAATGCAAGCAGAGCCAGCAGAAGTCAACTACGCATGATATGGACAGATGGAAAAGTTGAGCTGTAAAAACCAGCACCTACTTAACACATACCAGGGCTCTCATCCCTCGCCTCTTCAAAACCTGTCACTGAAAGGCAATACATAAATAGAGAAGCAGCAGCAGGAGCAGAAGAAGAAGAAGAAGAAGAAGAAGAAGAAGAAGAAGAAGAAGAAGCAGCAGCAGCAGCAGCAGCAGCAGCAGCAGCAGCAGCAGCAGCAGAAGAAGAAGAAGAAGAAGAAGAAGAAGAAGAAGAAGAAGAAGAAGAAGAAGAAGAAGAAGAAGAAGCAGCAGCAGCAGCAGCAGCAGCAGCAGCAGCAGCAGCAGCAGCAGCAGCAGCAGCAGAAGAAGAAGTGAAGGGCGACCAGTTTGAGTCATATAAATAACTTGGTATAGTTATGACGTGTATTTTCTGTTCAGTATATAATATAATTAGAAACCAACAAATACAACGAGTTCCTCAGTGAATGAGCTAACGTTTTTGGAATCCATACGCCCACGCTGCCCCCCTCCCCCAACCCATTGCGGTCACAGAGTGGGTGAGTCCGCCCACGTTCCCTGTGAGGCTTGTTTGTCTCGACGTGGACAGGTCAGTGCACAAGCTGGTCCTGGTGCCCTTCTTTACATTCAGCCGTTGATTCCCTCAAGCTGTCACGTCAGCTCTGCTTGAAATAAATCTTCTTTTTGTGTTTTCTGTCACCATTTTGCTTGCTCGGGGCTGCTAAACACGTTAGACTTTCGGGGTGAGAGAGAGAAAGAGAGAGGGTTGGGGGGGGGGATGGATTAGTGGTTGAGGGACATAGAGAGATTGCGCGTGCGAGAGAGAGAGAGAGAGAGAGAGAGAGAGAGAGAGAGAGAGAGAGAGAGAGAGAGAGAAGCAGTGACTGTGGGACATATAGAGATTGTGTATGAGAGCGAGAAAAGAAGTGACTGAGGGACATAGAGAAGGCGAGAGAGAGAGGAAGAAAGAGAGAGAGAGAGGGAGGGAGAGAGAAAGAGAAGCAGTGACTGAAGGACATAGAGAGAAGGCGAGAGAGAGAGAGGAGGAAGAGAAAGAGAGAGAGAGAGAGAGGAAGAAAGAGAGAGAGAGGGAAGAGAGAGGAAGAAAGAGAGAGAGAGAGAGAAAGAGAAACAGTGACTGAGGGACATAAAGAGGTTGTGTATGAGAGCGAGAAAAGCAGTGACTGAGGGACATAAAGAGATTGTGAATGAGAGCGAGAAAAGCAGTGACTGAGGGACATAAAGAGGTTGTGTATGAGAGCGAGAAAAGCAGTGACTGAGGGACATAAAGAGGTTGTGTATGAGAGTGTGGAAAGCAGTGACTGAGGGACATAAAGAGATTGTGTATGAGAGCGAGGAAAGCAGTGACCGAGGGACATAAAGAGATTGTGTATGAGAGCGAGAGAAGATGACTGAGGGACATAAAGAGATTGTGTATGAAAGCGAGAAAAGCAGTGACTGTGGCTCATATAGAGAATGCGAGAGAGAGAGAGAAGGGAGAGTGATTGCGGAACAAAAAGAGATGCAGAGAGAGAGACGCAGTGACTGAGAACAGAGAGATTGTGTGTGAGAGCGAGAAAAGCAGTGCCTGTGGCACACACAGAGAGAATGCGAGAGAGAGAGAGAAAGAGAGAGAGAGAGAGGGGGTAGAGTGATTGCGGCACAAAAAGAGATGTAGAGAGCAAGAGACGCAGTGACTAAGGGACATAGAGAGAAGGCGAGAGTGAGAGAGAGGAAGAGAGGAAGAGAGGAGAGAGAGAGAGAAGCAGTGATTGAGAACAGAGAGATTGTGTATGAGAGCAAACAAAAGCAGTGACGGGCACATAGAGAGAGAGAGAGAGAGAGAGAGAGAGAGAGAGAGAGAGAGAAAGAGAAAGAGAGAGAGAGAGAGATTAAAACTAAGTAAAAGACCCTTTTCCAGGCTTTCAGACGTATTGGGTATATAGGGCTAGACTAATATTTTATAGACCAATCGGCACTCGGGGGTGATCTAGTCATCATGCGGCTGCCTTTACATCCCAGGACTTTACCTGGTACCCATTCAAGGCTAGGTCAACCTGGCAGCCAAAATTACTTTTGAAATTGAAAAGCTTCATTAGGACCTGAATCCACGACCTTTGGATCAGCTGTCGGCTGTCTAGCCACTACACCACCGCGTCTTTCTGAAAGAAGGAAAACATGGACTGGGGGTGGGGGTGGGGGGGGGTTAAAAGAGTACGAGCGGGAGACAAACATGTTCTTCTGCTCACACAAGGTTGGCTGCAGCACAATCACTGCTTGTCTCTGGGAGTATTATGTCGTGAGGTCCCAATCTCTTCCGCAGTGCGACTCTCGTTCCATTGTATGAAACCAAAGTCCATTTTGTAAAGTTAATCACCCGTATGGGAAATCGAACACTGGTGCTTCGAGTGTTGTTAAATTGTGAAACACATTCATTATTCTCTACAGATAGAATTTAACAACAACAAAAAATTAGTAAAATAAATAACGAGAAAGTTAAACAGAAAGACACAGGGAGAAAAAGTTAGGGGGGGGGGGGGGGGGGGGGAAAATGAAGAAATCGAGACAGCTTACATTTCATTCATGGATTCACGATAGGTATCATCATTATCATCATCATCAATCGCCATATCCTTTACAGATCGTCACTCTCTTCACGCAGTCTATAATCTTCAGCAATCTGTTAGATCCAAAAGATTGCTGAAGGTTTGAAATGCTCAGCTACGTAAGCCTTGGTAACTTGGGGAGACAACCACTTGGCGTCATCATATGTTCATTTGCTGACAATAAGGTGATTGATGTTGGTTGTGCAAACTTGGTTACTGGCCACATCCGGCAGCTTTAGTGTTGCCACTTTGGATGTTTTACATACAGATTTAGATGTTTTCCCTTGCATTTAGATGGCGTTTTTAACGTTCAGATAATAGATGTTTTCTAGATGTTTTTGGAGTGAATTTATCAAATTCAACCTAAGAAACAGGATGAAATTTGACCTCTTAAATGGTATCTTGACAATAAAATTCGGCCTGATAAGAGTAGGAAAAGGCTGTTCGACTTATCAGCTCCCTGATTGAATATTTAAAGAAATTGGAACAGCTCAAGCAAACCAGTCATTTTGGATCTGAAGCTTCAACTTCATCATCCAAGTTAAGTTTATCCTGTTGATCTTGTAAGGCATACTTCAGTAAAGTTGAGGACATGATTCTATGGGGTAAGTCATATCAACTGCTATGTAATTTGTGACTCTTTCCATTTGGATGTTTTGTCTAGATTTTTTCCACGCAAATTGGGATGTTTTTAGATATTTTTTGACTCCGTTTTGGATGTTTTTTTTTTTTTTGGTCAAAGAGGAGTGGCAACACTGGGCAACTTTTACATGACGGGCTTCCTCAGTTTTGTAGATCTGTGGACGACATGTGTTGCAAGACAGAGAGACTAGGTCACAAACAAACACAAACAAAACTAAATTTTTCCCCGCCGCTTGTTTAAAAAACGTATTAATGCATTTGCCTTTACATAATGCTTCCCCTCGTTTAAGCGGTTACATTCTAAACGGCGAACATAGAAGTTGATAAACTTCCTTGTTTAAAAAGCGGTCAACGTTCAAATCTGTGATGAGACAGAATCATGTTCTTCTGTCAGTACAGAACTGGGGTCAACACAAAGCTACAAAATATGCCCATTTGCATAATTTTCTAGGTTTTGCCTCGGTAAGAAAAACGACTATATTGGAAAGCGGACACCTCAGATAGCGTCGTAGACTAAAATCATTTTCTACAACACTGTAATAAACAGACCTGTGTCGGCACCGTGTAAATTTCCTGTAACCGTCCAGTAGTCTAGCGTCTAAAGTGGGAGCCAGATGATGTGTTTTTGCAGCTCTTCCTCTCTCTGAAACAATGTTCCAATGCCCTTACGAGATTGTCTAACCTCTATGAAACAGCAGATGTCGTGGTGGCTAAAAATAGTAATGTTTAATTAGGAATCGACATCACAGCACTTGGAACATTCCCATAGGCGCTACATTACCATCTTCAGCAGCAAGGGTAGAGTTCTATTTCCGATGATACTAGCACCACTCTAATTGTATATCCATCTCACCTTTTTCCTGAGTGTTGATCATCGGCCAGCATACCTGCTCACTTCAGGCAGAAGGCTGCAGTGACTGCCTCTACCTCCATTCTCAAACTAGAATTTGTGATATCATCTGCCAGGCTTTGTTTTTACAGATCTAACTTGAGCGATGTTGGTTCATTCGCTTTGCACTCCGCCAAAGACACAATGTGAACTTTGTCATGCGTTTCGGTAGGACAGAGGGTCTATTCCCCCACTGATAATTATATTACCAGGGCGAGAATCATCTCATGAACTTCTGATTCTGCAGCACCCGCTGGCCAGTTTTTGCAGTCAGGCCCCAATGTGATTAGACCCCTAAACACGTTTGACTTTTGCTGGGACAGTCTGACCAACTCTTCTCATAGCTAATGTTGCCAAGCCTGTACACATTTCTAAATTTGCAAGACTTTCCTCTCGTAAATAAACTTATTAATGCAAAGGCCTTTATATAATACCTTTCCCTCGTATAAGCATTTATATTCTAAACGGGGAACCTATTAGCTGATAAACTTCTGTCACGCTGAAAGTGTTGCTTGTCTGCGACTGCTCTGAGAATATGACTGCTCGCAGCACTTTGAGCATCAGCACTTTTGAGCCTATCTGTAATAGTCGGCAGTGCGAGTATATATCGCTTAGATACTACCGGGTTTCTCTTGTTAAAAAAAGTTTCTTGTTAAAAAAGCTAGTTGAGTATCCTTTACAGGACGTTGCAAAACTAACCTCGGCATTTATTTTTTGGCTCTTTTACGTTGAGTAGTTTGCTGTTGCCTCTAATTGCTCAGCTCTCGGTACCACAGTCGAAACCACCGTAAGGAAAACCATTCGCAGCTGGAACCAACCAGGCACCCAGGCTTTACGAAGCGCGTTCTCAATGCCTACACCACAGACGCTGACGGTATCTCTTGTGCATCCCAGAATTATCTTATCTTCCATGACTTTATTCTGTAGACGTGCACGTTGCATTAGCTGATTTTTGAAAAATTTAAAGTATCACTTAAATGGGGAAAAACTGGATTCATTAGATTTATTTCAGTTGTACCCAGAGTCAATCCGGAAGACCGGTCTTAGACCTGACATAGTTCTGCACTCCGCGGAGAAACGCCAGCTCGTCTTGATAGAGCTGCCGTAGGTGTTCGCGGATGGAGGAAAATCCCATGAACAAGCTCAAAAAGTACCGTGAGCTTGTGGCCTGTCTGAGGAGAAACGAAACGCATACAGTTAAGATCTTCGCCGTGGAGGTATGCGGATAAGGTCTTGTCTCCACTTCCACTTACTATGTGCTAACGCAGTTAGGCTTGAGAGGAAACGAGCGTAAACGGTCACTAAAACAACTATGCGAAGCAGCTGAAAGGGCTTCAATCTGGCTCTAGACACAGCGGAACGTCGTGGGAGATAGGCCTCATTAGACTAGTTCGAGTCTCTAGTAGAGAGGAGCTTCTTATCCCTTAAAGCCAAAGTGTCTGATAAATGTCTGCCAGTCTCTCTCTGCCAAATGCCAAAGTCTAACACTATCCGATGAACCAACTGTTAACGTGTCACTCTGGTCATTAAGGTAGTTGACTGATCGAAGTTTTTACCGCAGCGACAATATAATACCAAATCTCACAGTACATTTTGCAAAGTCACCATATCGTCTTGTACCTGTCCGAGAGTTCACAGTGCAGCAGAAGAAGACCGAGGCCTGGCTTTATGACCCAGGTCGGCCCACTTTTCGAGATTGTTTAGGAAGTAATGGGTTGAAACAATCGTCGACAAAGGATCTTTCTACTGATGGTCGGTGGACCCCTGCTGTGCGTGCTCCCCTGTGGAGCTTTTCTAGTTACTCATTGAAGCCATCCTCCGGTTACCCGGATATTTTTCCCATTTTTCAGGTGCGCTGGTATAAAGTAGTTTAAGATTTTTACTATAACATAAATTCATATCTCAACAGATCTGGAGACACCAGACGTGGAAAGACCAGCTCCCCAACAAGCACACAATCGTGTATGTATCATTTATATTATTGTTAACATTCTTTTTTATTTTTTTTTTATTTTTAA